TAGTTAAGGCATCGATCGGTGTGTATTATTTCAGAAGCCCTCCGTAAACTTACTTCCGTGATTTTTTTTTAAATCCAGTTCGACCAATTGGTAGAAAACTCGACTCAGCTCAGAGAGACAAGAAGGGCGTTCTAATGAAATTTAAGAAAAAAACAACTACATGCATGGGAGCAATCTATTCAGCTACTCCTGTTTGTATCTTAATCTGTTGTGTAATTTTTATTTTATCTATGTACCAGTGATCCAGATAACATATTTGCGGAATCGTAATACATTTTCCCCCTTTTAAATGCGGAATCGTAATTAAAAAAATATTCGAGAAATTGTGACTCATTTTTTGCGGAAAGATATTATCAATATGCGAAAACGTGGAACACCGCTTCAAAGTGAAGGATTGGTGATATCCAACAAGAAGACCAAGGACAAAAAGAAAAAAATATATATATATAATCTCGTTTTCCTACCCATGTTCAAATGGTTGGGGTTTCTCTCTCTTTTTTGTGGCCCGAATGTAGAAAAGATTTTCGAGTTTAGACAATAGGTTTAGGTTTTTTTCCTGCTTGTCAAACTGTTTTGGAGTCCCCCCCCCCCCTCCCGCGTTAAAAATCGATTTTTAAGCAGCAAAAAGGAAGAAAAAATGACAACACGCCTTATATTAAAATTTCCTATGTACATTAGCAACAGTTATTTTCTCGGGAGAATAAAAAAAACACTAGGGGGCATCCCTGTACCCCTTCGATACTGCATGCTTCAGATCGTAGTATTTCCCGGTTTAATATCAAGGCTAGACCGTGACTGTGACTTCCTGTTCTATTCCTTATTTGGGGGGAGAGGGTAATCTATGTTCAATTTGGAAGACCAATTATAGAATCTGTGCTGTGTGAGTCAATAACCTCTAAAGCATAATCCCCTTTCAATTATTAAATGGATACATTATATATGATATGTTTTAAAAACTATATTCGCTGTAAAGGTCCCTGGTACAGAGCGAGGACAATCTCCCAGCCTGAAAAAACACGATTCTCAATTTTGAAAGTTCTTGAAAAGTTACATTTTTCAAAAAAAAAATGTATTGTCAATATCATCTTTTACACATTAGCTTCCTTTATTTTACTGAATAACTTATTGATAAATAATTTATTTTTCGCCACGAAGTCTTCTTGTCATTGATGTGTTTCAGTGTGATTAAAATAAAAGAGGTTGTTGAAGCGTATTTTTTTCTATAATGTTCGATTTTCAAATGGAATGGGCTCAGACTCCATTTTTTAAAACTTTAAGTTAATTTTACATTTCCTTTTCGGTCATTTAAAGGTTAATGTAGAAAGGGAACTTGCCCCATTCATTTTCAAAAATCATTTTGTGTGGCTCCAAAAAACCAGTTTTCCACTAAATATGCTTTACTTACAACTTTAAAACAAATCATCAACCAATGCCAATTAATAAAATAAAGGAATCAAATATGTTGAAAATGCCATTCCTGAAAACTTTATTTTAGAAAAATATAACTTTTCCATGAACTTTAAAGATTGAGAAATTTATTATCTCAGAGGGGGTGATTGTCCCCGCCTTATACGCCCCGTATCTTTTAAGATGTCTTTTAGGTTTCACAATAATGTGCATTATAAAACCACTATCGTTATTTTGATCTAACTTTACCATGATATTTTAGTAGGGATATTTCCTACAGCTGATTGATTGATTGTGTGTATTTTTGTCCCATTCGAGAATTTCCTACAGTTGAAGTCAAGCTTTTATCATTTAAAATTTACAGCATACCACCGACAAACATTTATCTGCTTTTATATACATTGTACATCAGTTTGCATTGGTCTATAATTCTTACCCAATTTGATCTTCCCCTTAACTCGTTCTCCCAAGCAGAATAACATGTTATATAGTTTTATCATATCTCTACTGATTTTTTCCCTATAGAACATTAGATCGTTAGATGTGACTAATTCCCTAGAAATCATAATGAATGGATTAGTCCCCGTGCGTTAGTCAAGTGAGCTAATCCCTGCTTCGAAAGCTAATTCCCGGTTATCCGTAATCCTCTAGATTTTACTTTTACATTGGTATGATATGTGAATGGACTAATCCCCGTGTGTTAGTTAGTTAGTGAGCTAATCCCTGCTATGAAATCATGCTATCTGAATCCTCTAACTCTAAATTTTAAGTTTTTATCAGTATAATAAAACAGTTAAAAGTATATCATTGCGGGAGTTAGCAAGATTTCAGTTCCTCTCGACCAGGACTATTTCCCTCGGCTTCGCCTCGGGAAATAGTCTTGGCCTTGGGGAACTGAAATCTTGCTAACTCCCTCAGTGGTATATTTCAACTGTATAAGTATCCACCGTTCTGGTCATGAAAAGCATTTCTAGATATTTAATACTGCAAAAGTTATGTAGTTTTATTCTGCAATCTAACGAAAAAATAAACATATACAAAGAAAATTAAATTTCGGTTTATTTCAAAAATAAAAATCATCACAAATTGTGCTCATTCAAAATGCAGTCAAAATATGATCTATTCATGTAGCTTACATTACATTAGAAATTCAAACACATGCAAGTTTATCAATAGAGGTTGATATAATATCATATTTAGCAATGTTTTAATAATTATATACACATCATAAAAAAGTGTCTTTTTATATTATGCTCACACATAGCAAGAGGCTACTCTAACTTACACAGTAAGTCAACACTCTTCTAAACTAACTCAACATGAAAACACATAATGAGCTACACTACTTACACACATATTGAGTCACTACATGACTATTACACATAAAAAAATCAATATTAGCACACAAAATGGGCTACATGTACACTACCGCAGGTAAAATTCTACATTCCCAACACAAAATGAATCCCATGCTACATGTACAACAAACAAATCAAAATAACAATACAAAATATGTATTACAAATACATGTAACATTATTAAAACACACAATGAGCTATACCAGTAACACACATAAAATTATACATTCCAAACAAATGAGTCACCATACTACATGTACAACTCACATAACAAATAACAAAAGTACCACACATAATAAGCTACACTACTAACACACATGTGGAGTCACTACAGAACTAACACACATGTCAAGTAACTACACTACTTACACACATGTCAAGACACTACACTACTTACACACATGTTGAGTCACTACACTACTGATATATACCTTACAAATAACAATTTTAAATCACACGATGAGCAATACAAGTAACACACATAAAATTATCCATTCCCAACACACGAGTCACCATACTACATGTACAACTCACATAACAAATAACAAAATTACCACACTTCATAAGCTACACTACTAACACACATGTTGATTCACTACACTACTAACACACATGTCGAGTCACTACTCTACTTACACACATGTCGAGTCACTACGCTTCTAATATATAACTTACAAATAACAGTTTTAAATCGCACGATGAGTTATACAAGTAACACATTTAAAATTATACAATCACGACACACCAGTCACCATACTACATGTACAACTCACATAACAAATAACAAAATTACCACACTTCATAAGCTACACTCATAAAACACATGCTGAGTCACTACACTACTTACACACATGTCGAGTCACTACACTACTTACACACATATCGAGTCACTACACTTCTAATATATACTTACAAATAACAGTTTTAAATCGCGCAATGAGTTATACAAGTAACACATTTAAAATTATACAATCCCGACACACCAGTCACCATACCACATTTACAACTCACATAACAAATAACAAAATTACCACACATCATAAACTACACTCATAAAACACATGCTGAGTCACTACACTACTTACACACATGTCGAGTCACTACACTACTTACACACATATCGAGTCACTACACTTCTAATATATACTTACAAATAACAGTTTTAAATCGCGCAATGAGTTATACAAGTAACACATTTAAAATTATACAATCCCGACACACCAGTCACCATACTACATTTACAACTCACATAACAAATAACAAAATTACCACACATCATAAGCTACACTCATAAAACACATGCCGAGTCACTACACTACTTACACACATGTTGAGTCACTACACTACTTACACACATATTGAGTCACTACACTTCTAATATATACCTTACAAATAACAGTTTTAAATAGCGCAATGAGTTATACAAGTAACACATTTAATATTATACAATCCCGACACACCAGTCACCATACTACATGTACAACTCACATAACAAATAACAAAATTACCACACATCATAAGCTACACTACTAACACACATGTCGAGTCACTACACTAATAAAATATACATTACAAAAAAAATTATTAAAGCACACAATGAGCTATACCAGTAACACACATCAAATTAAAATATACTTTCCCAACACAAGAGTTGCCATACTACATATACAACAACCATAACAAATAACAAAAATACCACATATAATAAGCTACACTTCAAACACACATGTCGAGTCACTACACTACTAACACACATGTCATGTCACTACACACTAACATACTTGTGGAGTCACTACAATACTAATATATACACTACAAATAACTATATTAAAACACACACAATGAGTTATACAAGTAACACACATAAAATTATACATTCCCAACACATGAGTCACCATACTACATGTACAACTCACATAACAAATAACAAAATTACCACACATAATAAGCTACACTACTAACACACATGTCGAGTCACTACACTACTAACACACATGTCATGTCACTACACTACTAACACACATGTCGAGTCACTTTACTACTAATATATACATTACAAATAACCATTTTAAATCACACGATGAGGCATATCAGTAACATACATAAAATTATACATTCCTAACACATGAGTCACCATACTACATACGTACACAAAATAACCACACATCATAAGCTACACTCATAACACACATGTCGAGTCACTACACTACTTACACACATGTCGAGTCACTACATATATTACAAAAAACAATATTTACACACATTATGAGTTATACCAGTAACACACATAAAATTATACATTAATTCCCAACACATGAGTCACCATACTATATGTACTATCATACATGTAAAACAAATATTAACAAAATTACCACACATAACGAGCTATACTACTAACACACATTTCAAGTCACTACACTACCATTCATATAATGTTATATATAAATGAGGTCATATAAGGAGTCAATACATTTACAATAGAGTCAACATGCTCCTAAAACACACTTATATTAGGTCGTTATAGCACTTGTCACATGTACTTGCACATGAATCACTATTATGACAAAAGAATTCTTTAGATGTACATGTAGTTGTTATTTAATCTTTGTCTAGCTGTTATGATATTTTAACAGCAAATTTTATACTCTTTCCTGCAAATTCAAAGATTGTTCTGCTTTCTGGAGGGGCATTCAAACACTTCAATTGACCATGTTTAAGTCATACCGACTTATTCCACTCCACATTGGCACTCTATGGCTGTTTTTCTTTTGTCCACACATCTTACAAATGGTACTGAAATACATAATTATATAATAGAACCATTAAAGCTTTTACATAAAAATGAAATAAAAATATATCAGTGATCAAGTTTCCAATCTTAATTAAGACACAACAACACTTCTTTAAAAGCAAAAGGACAAGAATAAATTTTAAAATTAAAATTCCTAAAACAGCTAGTTAACATTTTGTGTATTTGATTTGTATTAAATGATTATCCTTTAGAACTTGTTAGCCTTTTGAATTACTGTAAATGTATAATATTTAGTGTGTACGATATTTGGCAGAAGTTGATTATTGAGCAAGTTAGCGGAGATTTGATTTAGAGCATTTGTTAATGTTCTTCTTTATGTGTATTTGTGCAAGACATTTAGCGTTGTACTTGAATTAGCGGACATTGCTTTCCGACAAAGGCACTAAAAAGAATACACAGCGAAAAGTATATTCACAACTTAACAAACACTTTCTGAAATTTTGGGTTATCCTTTTCTTTTGTCCTTGCCTTTGGTTTCCTATCAAGCTTTCCAGTTTAAAGTGCCAAACTTTAATCTCATCTTGTTCTATAATTTACATATCAAAAGGTTGGAATCTTTATAGTTAGGACTATATAAGTACTCACAACAGAATACATGCATCTAGACAAATAAGGATTTTTTCAAAATGAAAACATGTATCCAAGCAAGTCACTTATAAGAATATTATAAATGAAAACATTCAACAAGCTACACAAATTAGATTCATTTAGCTTTTCCTGTATATTTATCTGTCTCTCATTAGTAACATATATTAATAAATGGAGTAAAATGAACGACCTAATTTTAATTACACTCAAAGTCTACCAAGTAACAGTAATATGTAATAATTAGTTTTACATGTTTCATAATGTGCATAAGGAGATGGGTGAACAAGGCATGCAAAAAGCCTATAGCTTCAAATGTATAAAAGTCATATTCAAATACTGAGTTTAGTATTTAGAGTAAAGTTCTTCTTATTGAAAGGTATAACATTATACATGTATTACAAACAAAACTTTTCTGTGGAAAATTCTTTAAGCAAAAATCATTCTATGATAAAAAAAAAAGTGGTATTCTAGGGGTTGAAACCCAAGCAATGAAATTAAATCCTGAATATCAGTTTTTTTTCTAAGAGACTAACATGCTAACCACTAAACTACATTGTACATACATGTAGCTCATGACAAAAATGGGCATTTACATATGTAAATCATGTTTAAAAATGTGGCTCTTGACTAAATGGATTTCAAATATATTTCTGAAAGATATGCAGGGTTTGACACTAAGGCACGTCCGACTGACCCAGTCTAGTAAATGCATGGTCCGTCATGTTAAATGTTCAATAACTTGCCCGACTGGTTGTGTGGATGAAATAAATGTTAACTCTCATTTCAGTCTTTCAAATAAATGCTCTGACTAAAAACTTTTTAAAGAAATTTTCTTAATTTTCAGATTGCAAACACAGCCATTGCTTTGAAAAAGAAAACTTTCCTGCATGACACAATTGCTATTTTTTTTAGACCGGCTGTAATAGACAAGTCACAATCGAAACCTCAGCTTTGTTCAGTATCATTTGGTATAAATATTCATTGAATATTATAGTTTTTAATTTATTTACATGTATATTTACGGTAATAATTTTATTTAAGTTCCTTGAATTTATGTTCTTTAAAGCTTATAACATTCGCATGTTCGCTCATTGGGCTGCTACCTATGGGCTCAACAGTCTGTCAAAATGTATACATGAACACATGCGAGAGATACACTGTAGTATGGTTTCAAAACTTTTTCCCCATTATAATAGGAGGTTATAAATAGAAAATTTTCAAGTTTGGTCAGGGCTAGTGAATTTATGGTCAGAGCTAGTAAAAATTATGGGAAGTAGCACGACTGATCTAGTACTCATAAAAGTTAATGTCAAACCATGATATGAATGTTGTTGTGACTAGTGGTGTTCCAATCATCGATTATAATCGAAAATCAGTCGATTGCTGGCATAATCCAAGCGCTCGATTACAATTTTTTTATTCTGATTAATCGGGTTATTTATTTTATTTTAAAAGCGTAATAGTTTTTAAGCCAAATATTCCAGCCGCAACTTTTCTATTAACTTAATTATATGCATATCGTAATGGCACAGACAAAGAGACATTGTATTCATACCCGGGTAACAACGCTCATTCCTGGGTATGGACGTACTTTGGATTCTACAAAATGAGCGTAGAACCAGCTTGACTAGATAGAACATTCTGTCGTTAAAATGATATTGTCCTAAGGACTAGGGGTTGTTCCGAGACACAGTTATTCCAACTACAGCTGGACCACCACAGAAAGTTGTTATTCAACCATTCTTACCATTTAATAAACTAAAATTGACAGACTTTGTAAATGTCCGATTATAATTGATAATTAGTTAGTTACAGTAGCCTGATCATCGATTATGAAATTCTTACCAATTCCCATCACTAGTTGTGACATAAAAGTCTATTTTTAGAAGAGTTGGTCATTTCACCATGTTTTTGTCAAACGAAATAGGAAAAGTTTTAAATATACTTCGAGTATAATCTTACCAAAATATGGAGTGAAGACCTACTCATATTTAAAAAGTATGATATAGGAGGAAAAAATGACCATTTTTGCCCTCTTTTGGTGTGTATCTGCTATTTCATAGATCAATAATATTAATCGTTATAAGATTGTAGCAAATTGCAAAGATTTTACATAAGGTATACAATAATGTTACATGAAGTATCAAAGAAAATTTTGACATGATTAAGATTTAACTTTTTACATCTTTTTTTGTTACACAATAGGCATTTACTTGCCTTGTTTGCCCATCATCTTTATCAGTAGATAAGGTTTATGATTCAGACGGCATCTGATAATGCAGCAATAAAATGTAAAATGATAGAAATAAGTGCACTATGCTCACTTTTTTCCTCCCAGAGCTCTTCTTTTCATCTTCAATTTCTTCCTCTTCATTTCCTCAACTTTTTCTTCTATTGCAAGTTCTGTAAAAAAAAAAATCCAATTCGATAAACTACTAAACTGACAAAAACTCAATTTTCAGTCAAGTTTCGGATTTTACCAGATTCATGAAAAATCTTGGCATACTGAACCTTTTTAGTGATTTATCTGAGAAAAGAGTGGTTAGTAACTTAATCGTTTTCATGTACCTGCTTGACTTCGACAGAAACGTTTTGGTACTAGAATGTGAAATACATACTTTTGTTATTACCTAAAATATTTCCATGACCTCAAATTCACCTATATTTCTTGCTGCTATTAAAGCCTGGTCAAGAAATAACGTTTCCCCTATAACAGGCATCAATTAACAAGGTTATGATTCAAAGTTTCAAAGTGTGCAGCTTGATTCACACAAAAGAAAAAAAAAAGACTGAACAGATTTACAAGTACTTGCAAAGAAGACTAGAAATGTGTCTTGATCGACATTTTCAGCCTAAGGTAAAGTCAGGGCATAGTCATGTAACATGTAACATTTTTCATGATGAATTACCTATATACAGTCCAATCTCATTATCTTAAACTAGATGACACAAAGTAAAAAAAAATAAAGATGTTCCTGGGTTCCAGTAAAGAGTACTCAAATACCACTTAATCATACAGTGAAACCTGTGTAATCCGACATGCACTGGGAGACAAATTTTTTGTCGGAATAGATAGGGCGTCGTATTGATCAGTGTAAAAAAACATAGAAAAAAGTAAAATGGGAATGAAATTTAACGTTGGAATTTACAGTGTGACGGATTGCACAGGTGTCAGATTAGACAGTTTTCACTGTACAATCATATAATTATGGAGATAACGAAGCTCAAGAGTCCATAGAAAAAATACAAATCAGGAGCAAACACGGACCACTAAAAACATCAGAGGTGGGATCAGGTGCAATATAGGAGTAAACATCCTCTGCCAATCATTCACATTTGATGTGTGCTCCTTGTCATGATCGGGAAAAAGGAAAAGTCTGTAGACAATTCAATGTGTAAACAGACAATTCAATGTGTAAATAATGGTCAAACAATTAGTATTAAAAACATCAGTCCGCATTCAACTTACATGTAATGAAAGATTGTTTTGCTGACAAGGTCATTGTATCGACCATAGCTAATTACACACATGCAAGTCACTACATCCAGTCAAAGTTGATGTTTTGATATTTTTTCTCAAAATATTTATGAAAGAATAAGATAAGTACACGGTAATTTTGTTGACTTGAAGAAATACATTGATGGGGAAAGGGGGGGGTATTGTGATAATAATTACCTAGTCCTTTTTCATTCTGCCTTTTTCTTTATTTCTTTCCCTTTCTCTTCCGTTCCACCCTCTGGCTCATTATCTTCCATCACTTCATCCCTCTCAGAAATGGTTTCCAGTACAGATAAAGTGGTTGATGAATGACTTACTCAAAATTATGGACCCATGATATAGATGTTGTAATAATGTTACATGACACACACTGCAAGTCACTGTGCCCTGTAAAAATTGTTACCTTCTTCATTTATATTTAAGGATCAAGAACTAAATAAGAATTCATTCTTAAGTTTTACAAAAAAACTTTATAAATCAGGATTTGAGAGAGCTTTGTAAAAATACTGTGAGATACATAATGTAATAACCTTGTCCTTTCTTCACCTTGTCCTCCTTGTTCTTCAGCTTTTTCTCCACTTCCTCATCTTCCTTCATTAAATCTTCCCTAGTAGCTGCTTCTAGTAGAAATAAATACCAATAAAATAAATTAAAAAAATCTTGACTCAAGAAACAGTAATGGTTACACATATTATAAAAAAAGAACATTCTTAGAATATTTGTGAAGAACTAAATAAGTATTTTAGCTAATTAAAGTAAAAGACATTCCTATCAAATAGAAAACAAGAAGTCTGTGATCGAGCCAATGCTCACTAGTAATTATAATTCCCGCACTGATTTGAATTTGGTACGGACAAGCACAGGGGTAAACAGGAAGTTGACGTCAAATTCATACAAAAATGAATCCCACCATATGGCATGCCTAAACAATTTAAAAGTGTGCTAAACTTTCAAGCATCATCATTAACAGTTGTTGAGAAAACTGTGATGGAAATTTAGTACGGACAGATGGAGGGATAAACAGGAAGTTAACATGGGATTCCTACAAAAATACATCCTACCATATGGCATGCCTAAACAGAGAGCGTGCTAAAATATTAAGCACCTTCGATGAGTAGTTGCTGAGAAAAGTGCAACAGAAATTTGGTAAGGACATGGATATAATAAATATGACTGATTTAAATCATGTTTCTGTCATTCCATGTAAACTTTGATCCTCTTCTGTGGCCCTACCCTACCCCTAGGGTCCATGAATTGAACAAACTTGAATCTACACTACTGGTATTTCAGGAAGCTTTCAAATACATGCAAGTTTCTCAATTAATGCAAAATTGGTTATTTTCACTGGTTTTAATTTTCATGATTTGAGGGGATTTAATTTGTGGTTGAAAAAAAAAACAACATATGACACCATATCATAAAATTTCGATATTTGGTTTCACTACAATGTATACTAGTAGCTTAACACTGAAGGGTTTTTTTTTTATTTTGCCTACCATGAAATGAGACCTTGATTTTTAAGGTTTCATTTAAAACACATGCATCTTTCACTTATAGAGTCACAGCTTAGTAATCGAACAATCTCATTACCTATTTCAAACATCTTGGATTGACAAGGTGCTAGGAACAAGAATTGAACAGGGACCTATTGATTATAATGCGAGTACCGACAACAACTACCGTCTAGGCTACTGTGATTTGTCAGTTTCAGGAATTAAGATAAGGGATATCAATAATGAACACTTAAGTAATTATTGCAAAATATAAAGTCTAAACATTTCGGAAAGACTATGAATTTTAAATTAATTCTACTGATTTAGTTAAAAGTTTTTGTTAGAGACTGATAAAGGAGACTTAAATTTTCAATTCAACTTTCCAGCATCATGTTTTATACAGTGTAAGCATGGCCTGACTAAATATATGCCTGAGATATTTTAATGTCAGGGTTCAACACTAATGTTAGTCCGTTAGTCTGATCAGACTAATACATTTTCATTTGGACTAATAAAATCTGTCGCTAGTAAGTCCCAACAGACCAATAAAAATTTCTGGAAAACAAAATGAATAAATTACGATTTTCAACAATTAACATTTACTAGATTATTCCTATATATTCCTATGTAAAACTTTGATCGCCCATTGTGGCCCCACCCGACCCCCAGGGGTCATGATTTGAACAAACTTGAATCTACACTACCTGAGGATGCTTCCACATAAGTTTCATATTTTCAAGCACAGTGGTTCTTGAGAAGAAGATTTTTTAATGATGCCATTAATTTTTCACAAATTCTTAATTATCTCCCCTTGGAAGAAGGCGTGGTCCTTCATTTGAACAAACTTGAATCCCCTTTACCCAAGGATACTTTGTGCCAAGTTTGGTTGAAATTGGCCCAGTGGTTCTTGAGAAGAAGATGAAAATGTGAAAAGTTTACAACAACAACGACAACAACAACGACAGACAACGGACAAATTTTGATCAGAAAAGCTCACTTGAGCCTTTGGCTCAGGTGAGCTAAAAATCTTTGGAATAAAACAATTCATGTACTTTCAAAAAACTATAAAAAGTACATTAATTGTAATCAGTCTTCGACAAATCCCGGGAGTCCGAAGCCCGGGACCTGGTAAAATTGGAAGGGGGCATGTGGAAATTGCATACTTACAAGCCCAAAGGGCATGTGAATTCTGAGGCCTAAGCCTCCGTATTATTAAATTAAGTAATACACATGTACCAATAACATTAAATGTACTTAAAAGTCTGATTTTTCATCTGAAGTGGAGCACCAAATAAAATTTTAACGATTAGTTTATTCTACCACGATTTCCAGGGAACTCTTTTGCAAAAGAAACACAAAAAGTGTACAGGTTGAAAACAATATTAATGGCTAGACAATAGATCGATAGAAATGGATTTCGGATCATTTCCTTGCCATGAAAAGGCAAATAAGAATAAAATTACTTGATAAAATTCTGGGCATGTGAATATTTGTTCGGGCTAGCGTAATAAGTGGTTAAACCTGCCCGAAGGGCATGTACTGAAAAAAAGATTTGGCAAAGACTGCATTGTAATGTTTATTTTTAGATAAATCGTTACAAAACACTGATCTTTCCTTTTTTGACGGACTCATGTGAAGTAGTAAAAGAAGGACATGTTTGTTGAAACACCCTGTATTAAAGGGATTTCAACGCTTATGTACATGATGTATTTGTTTAACCATTCATCCCACTCCAAAACAAACAAGAGGCCCATGGGCCACATCACTCACCTGAGCACATTGGCTAGGCAAAAGACCGGGGGGGGGGGGGGGGGGGGGGGGGGCTTGAATTTTAAACTACCTGATGATGCTTCCATGTCAATATAACAAATGGCTTTGTTGTACTTGAGAAGATTTTTTAAAAAAAATTCCCATATATTCCTTTGTAAAAATTTGATCCCTCATTGTGGCTCCTCCCTATCCCAGGGGTCATCATTTGAACAAACTTGAATCTACACTACCTGAGGATGCTTCCATATCAATATGACTAAACATAGCTTTTCTGTTCTTGAGAAGAAATATTTTTTCTATATGTTCTTGTGTAAAACTTTCCATCCTCCATTGGGCCCCATCCTACCCCTGGGGATCATCATTTGAACAAAATTGAATCTACGCTACCTGAGGATGCTTCCATATCAATATGACTAAACATAGCTTTTCTGTTCTTCAGAAGAAGATATTTTCCTTTATATTTCTATGTAAAACTTTGATCCTCCATTGTGGCTCCGCCCTACCCTCGGGGGTCATGGTTTGAACAAACTTGAATCTACACTACCTGAGGATGCTTCCATATAAATATGCCTCATCATGGCTTTGCTTTTCTTGAGAAGAAGATTTTTAAAGATTTTTCCTATATATTTCTATGTAAAACTTTGATCCTCCATTGTGGCCCCGCCCTACCCCCGGGGGTCAAGATTTGAACAAATTTGAATCAACACTACCTGAGGATGCTTCCATATAAAAATGACTCATCATGGCTTTGCTGTTCTTGAGAAGAAGATTTTTAAAGATTTTTCCTATATATTTCTATGTAAAACTTTGATCCTCCATTGCAGCCCCGCCCTACCCCCGGGGGTCATGATTTGAACAAACTTGAATGTACACTACTTAAGGATGCTTCCACATGAGTTTCATCTTTCCTGGCCCTATGGTTCTTGAGAAGAAGATTTTTAAATGATGCCATTATTTTTTCAGTAATTCCTAATTATCTCCCCTTGAAAGAGGGCGTGGCCCTTTATTTGAACAAACTTGAATCCCCTTCACCCAAGGATACTTTGTGGCAAGTTCGGTTGAAATTGGCCCAGTGGTTCTTGAGAAGTCGAAAATGTGAAAAGTTTACAGACAGACAGACGGACAGACAGACAGACAGACGGACAGACAGACGGACGCCGGACAAAATGTGATCAGAAAAGCTCACTTGAGCTTTCAGCTCAGGTGAGCTAAAAAAAGAAGCTTTTTAAAACAATTCTACTTACACATTAGAAGTACTGCCATCTTTTTTCTCCTGGTGAAGATTCAAAATATAATTAAATGGGTTTGTGTTCACTGGCCAATAGTTTTAAACACCATCTGCAGGAACCTTGAAGTTTTCCCGTATCACCATGAACCTAAAAAAATCGATGTTATACTTCAGTATCACAAAACATCCATCCTAAAACATTCACAGACAGACATTACACACATACAAACGTTCCATGTTCCATTTATGTTCATTATTTGAAAATAATCATAAATCATGAATTTGCTTCATCTTGCACTGATTTAAGTCCCAACATTGTTAAGTTAAATAAATAATACAGTTAAAAAGCATGTTTTACTGACCATGCTGACAAATAATACATTAGACAAAATTAATACATGTATCGATCATGCCATCAATAAAATATGAAAAATGTTAGTGTGCATGTTCACACACACTTGAATAAGTTGACTGACTGCTTCCAAAGAATGTACATGTCCTCATTCATGTAATCCTGTTCCATGAATATAGTTTTCATTTATACCCCTTCATAAAATGACACATGCATGTCACTTACATACCAGTCTAGACGAACTCCAAAAACAGCGTTTCTGGAAGTAAGAAATTGAGACTGAAAAAGACTCCGAAAAAAGAGTCCGCGCATGCGCACACACACAAAAAATGGCGATTTTTCGGCAAAAATGATGGGTCTACAAAAACTGTCCGTGCAAAGTTTTGGAAAGTATGGCAATTATACCAGTACTCAGAAATGCTAAATAAAAGACTTCGGAAGAGATCGTATTTGTCAGATTTTTGATTTTATTTGCAAAAAAGGAGATATTTACTTTCAAAGTTAACGTTTCAAGTCAGATCAATTATAGAGAAAATGATACGTTTTGAGAAGTAAATATGCATAAAAAAGGGATATATCTGCAAAATGGGGCAATATATATTGCAACTGTTAAAAACTTGACTGAATTTTACACATAAATTAGCATTCCGGTTTTTTATTTGTGTACGACATCTGAATTGGACGCATAAGTTTTTACCATCCTTATTTACCGATTTTTTATCATATACGAACAGATATTATTATGAACACATTTTTAAAACTATTATCTATCAATATGAAGACTTTAAAACCCACTCTTCTAGATATTAAGGGCACAACATGTCTTCTAAAAATGAACCTATTAATACCTCTGCTCCGTGGTGGAAAAATGCACATTTTCTGATTAAAATAAATACAAGTTGGGTGTCTTCAAAAACAAATAAAAGCACCTTTAGTGTAGGAACGACATAAAATTTAAATCAAGGAGACAATAAATTTAATAAGAAAATATTTCTTACCGGCAGTATTGAATTTGATGTCGTATATCCAATTCACTAATATGCAAGAGTTTGAAGCGATAAATAAGTCAATATTCACAAAATAATTTAATAAATGCAATTATCCATTCAACAAAAAATAAAATGAAGTAATATTGCACTAAATACAGCCATTATGCAGCCGTATATTTGGAGAAAGCGAACTATAATCCATCGTTTGTTTACATTGGACGCCAGTTTGGCGCAATGCATGATGGAGCCAAAGACTTCGTTTCCGGAGTTCACGCTGTTTTTGGAGTTCGTCTAGACTGCATACGGCAAGACCCTGCCGGCCTGTACATTGAGTACACTACTTTCACTTTGAACTTGAACTTGACTGAATACCGATTCCGACCTCGTTTGTGAATTTTTGTGTACATATTGAATCCTTATGTAAAAATATATTCAACTTAGCTTTGAATTAATAAATAATATAAATTGACACATTAATTGAATTTATTCGCTCATACATGTAACTGTAAACAACAGGAGGAAAGAGAATTAGCTGTATGTTCATAAGGGGGGGGGGGGGGGGGGTTACTCCCATATGAAACTGTCTGGGTGGTTTAAACACAGGCACAAATTTAGCTTCCATAAACCTGTAACAGACAGCATTTCTCCTCCTATATATGTAAAATATGTATAGAAAGCCATGCGAAAAAGTGGTCAAGGCAAGAACAGGCATGGGATAATGACTGAAATATAACATAACACAGTTTTACAAATAAACCCTTCACAGAAAGTTGTGCTAGGTTCCCTACATGAACTCATGGATTCTGAAAAACCTGTACCAGAAACCTGTGCCATTTTCCATATCTGGAGACCCTGATTTGGGAAATCGACCATGTCAAAAAATAACCAAATATGGAGTCATGAGATCTGCATGTGCCTTGATTAATTCATCTAGATCTGGGTTAGGATCTTGGAGAATCCCCTGATGTTGCTGTAGATGCCAAATAGAGACTGAATACAAACTTTACCATGCTTTACATTATTAATTTGATTAGTTTTAGAATTTTTAAAGTTTGAAATTAATACATGTGTGAGAGCGCCACATTCATTTTTATAGAACTTATCTACACTATCATTTTAACAATTTATAGTAGTTTCTTATTAAGAATCAAATGATTCAATGCACAATTCTATAGTAATTTAACTTAATTAGGCCAAATGAAAAAAAATTATGTGTTTCTGGTGACATATGCTAAAAAAATTAGGCTAGGTAAGTAGGGAATAACTTTTTTTTTTACTTTACTGTTAATTTTGTTTACTTGTTTGTTTGTTATTTAATTCCCTTTCAAGAAATTTTCACTCATATGGAGATGCCACTACTTGTCGGTGGAGGGCTGCAAATTAATAGACCTATACTCCGCTCTCAGTGAGGGATCTTTTTCATGCCAGCACCTACTGCGACATAGGACCTCTGTTTATATGGTCTCATCCGAAGGACCGGTCTTCACATCCCACAGTGGGATTCGAACCTGCAATCAACTCCTTACTTCGCGACTCTAGAGCAAACACTCTAACCACTGCGTCACACAAGCAACACTTTTTATTTTGAAAGCATCAATTAATTATTCTGTACATTGTTTTTCTATCATATACATGTACATAAACATACATGTATATGAATAAACAAACAAACATATATATATATATATATATATATATATATATATATATATATATATATATATATATATACATATATATATATATATATATATATATATATATATATATATATATATATATATATATATATATATAAAGTAGGAGTACTCTTTAAGACTCTTGGATAAACAGGTTTTTACAGTGTACGAGACATGCATTTTATGGATTGCACTATGAGAAAACTTTACTATGAACAAAAGTATGATTCAAAATCTCTATTTGGAATAAAAAGTAGTAGAGTCGGTGGGTAAAATTAGGTCAGCTGGGTTATGGGAAATACATGTTGTTGTTTTTTTTCAGCCTAAGTTTGTTCAATTTGAATTTAATAAAATCATAACTTTCTTTATCATGTGATGACACAAAATGAAATGGGATTGTTAACTTAGGTTAAATCATCATTGATCAACAAAGACTATTTCAATGTCTGTCAGCTTGCACTGAAACACCCAAGGATAAAGATTTCAAATGGCTTCTATATTAGACTTACTTACTTAGACTTTTAGTTCAAAAGTGACAAAATCATTCAAGTTGACCTAAGTACAATTCCAAGTGATATACATGTATATTAGTTATGTATCTTTTATAAAGTAAGAAAGACACAAGCTATATTAGCTCAGGATCATGAATCCTTCTTATCTGATTTGCACAAAGGAAGTTATGATCATGCTATGTAAAAAGCCGTGAGATTAAAAATACATGTATATAGTTTGAACCAAATCTGCCTCATTCAAATTTTGTAAGTTAGAAACTGTCTTCTTGGGACAAGTATTCCTTGCCTACACATTGGTTTCTGTGCACAAGAACACCTTGCTTTCAACCTCAGATTCTGTGTCCATATCTTGGGTCTGTGGAGCCCATACATCTTTTCTAAATTTCATATATGGGTTCCGTGCCTTAACTGTGTCTATATACACTATGTCTATTTCACCTCAAAATTTTGGAAGGACACTATATTGCGACTCGATTTGTTTTAAAATATGCACATTAAGCAAAATAAAAGTTGTGTATTTCATAGATTTCAACAATTGGAAATGATAATATTATTAAATTACAAACTTCAACTCAGCCTGAAAGTACAATTTTTTTAACAAGTAGAATTTCTCTTAGCATGCTTACCAATAGACGTACTCAATATATATGGGGTATACAGTCCACCAATACATTTCCCATAGGCGACAATGTTAACCTTTTCTCACACTGTTTTAAATCCTTGCTTTACATTTAAGGATGGAACAACTCTCAAATAACATCTCAAGGTGGAATGTCAGATTGTTTTCCGGCCAAATGCACACATTCGCAAAAAATAAACATCTGAAAATGAAAGTAATTAAAACAATAAAAGTAAAGCATTAACATTTCCAAAATCTAGGGTGTGCACATATCAAACTATACAATTCCTTTCCTTTAAAGTCGCCCGCGTGGCGCAGTGGTTAGAGCGTCTGCTCTAGAGTCGCGGAGTAAGGAGTTGATTCTTACGTCGCGGGTTCGAATCCCACTGTGGGACGTGGAGACCCATCCTTCGGATGAGATCGTATAAACCGAGGTCCCATGTCGCAGTAGGTGCTGGCACAAAAAAGATCCCTCACTGCTCAATGGCCATAAATGCCGAGTATAGGACAAAATTTGCAGCTCTCCACCGGCAAGTGGTGGCGTCTCCATATGAGTGAAAAATTCTTGAGAGGGATGTTAAACAACATACAAACAAAACAAACCTTTCCTTTAAAAGATATAATGTCGAAATCTTTCCAATGAACAGAGCCAAGGGAAAATTGAATGCACACTTTGGTGCTAATATGGTTGATTTAATGACCATTTTAAATTTTTTTTACTTCAGTGCAATTATCATGATTATGGTGCATGACACAAGCCTTCAGCATATGCCAACGAGTATGTTAATCTTTCTGTACGTTGATGCAAGTTTTTTAAGCTTTGTACATGCTGTAGTGTGGCAAAGCCTTAATTTGAAGAGGTGTAGAGCAACCTTTACATCTTTTGTGTGTGTATGTGAATTTACAAGAGTCTCACTTAGCCTATCTTCTTTTACGTGTTGGTATCACAGCTGTATCACGTATCACGCTCACAAACACCACAGTGAAAGGTTTAAAATATATGCACAACCAAACCTTTGTGAAATATCTGCACTTGACTGATATCACATGCATGACTTAATAATTTTATACGTGACTCGAATGACCTCTGATTTGTTTATCATGTAAATATTTTGAACTTGTCATTTACACCTTTATATAACGTTTCTTACTCTATACTTACCATGAGGGGTATTTACATACTAAAATAAATCACAGAATGACATCGAAGGTATAATCCAATAAGTATTTCTATGTTATTAGGTTCACAATCAAGCATCACGCCACAACAGTTACGATTAAGTAGTAATTCGTTCCGGTGATGACTCGGAATGAAATTTTACACAGAAAAAAAAAGTTTATTACTTGAGTAAATTTGAGTAGAATAGGTTAATCAGACAATTTTTTTTTTACTAGAAATAAACATGGTAAATGGAGAGGGGGGAGGGGGGAGGCATTAACAATGTTCAAATAGATATTTCTATATATAGTCCCTGATTAGACTAAGTGTAAAATTTACGCAGTTCTTTATATATACGATGGACAATGTTTAGCAATTCATGCACCGATCCAGTCCAGTCCACTCATATTTTTTTACTTTTATTTTTTTATTTTTTATTTATTTATTTATTTATTTATTTTTTTTTTTTTTGAGTTTTCAAATTGTAGTTTTGCTCAGGGGGGGGGGGGGGGGGGGGGATGGACAAGTTTGCGTTTTTAAAATTTATCTATTTATTTTTTAAGTTTTGGGTAAATTTCTCAGTTGGATTTTTTTTTTTTTTGGGGGGGGGGGCATGGAACCCCCCCCCCCCCCCCCCGGAAGAATTCCTGGATCATCTCCTTCTGAGGAAACAATAGTGAACATGAATCACTAACTCTAATGAATAAATAAGGTAAAGTCTTGGAAACCACATTTTACAATTACCGTAATCACACCTCATCAAGTCTAGAGACTGTAATTATTTCTCTTACACGGACAGGTAAGCAACTAATGATTAAAGTTTCCAATCTGAATACATGTACAAAAACTTGCAGATTTTCATATTTTGATTAGTTTACCAGCTTTAAGGACACATACAAGAAGAACTGAGCATACTTTATTTTTGGATGAAAGAGAACTCTGATCTTGTCTACACTAGCCGTAGTATTTTAAAAATGCATTTCCCCTTCCGATCAAAACAGTTTATCATACACGTACCTCCATTATAAAGATATCTAATCTTTCTAAATTCTTTTTATACAATACATGTGCAGGTGTTCCATTGTGACATACATCAGGGACATTGTATTAGAAAATATTTAAATGAATTTGTTCATTTGAAATTCTGTAAAATCAGTCGAGAAACATTTAAAATCGAAAAGTGTGATTCTTATATGGTGAGAACGTACTGTTAAATACTTTTGTAATCATACATATTTGA